GGAGGGTATTCTCGATGTGAAGGTGGGACTTCGTCTCCACAAGGACTGTGCGATGGTCACTCTTACCGATATTGTCATGGACAGATGCAACTGCAGCTGGCAGATTAGTAAGGATGGGGTCAAGTATGTTTTTCCCTCTTGTTGGTTCCCTCATCACCTGCCACAGACCCAGTCGAGAAGCTATGTCCTTTACGAACCGACCAGCTCAATCAGTAGTACTGCTGCCGAGCCATTCTTGGTGGTGGACATTGAAATCACCCACCCAGAGAACATTTTGTGCCCTTGTAATCCTCACTGCTTCCTCTAAGTGTTGTTCAACATGGAGGAGTACTGATTCATCAGCTGAAGGAGGACGCTACATGGTAACCAGCAGGAGGTTTCCTTGCCCACGTTTAACCTGAAGCCATCAGACTTCATGGGGTCCAGAGTCAATATTGAGGTCTCCCACAGCAACACCCTCCTGAATGTATACCACTGTGCTGGGTCTGTCCTGCTGTTGGGACAGGACATATCCAGGGATGGTGATGGTGATGTCTGTAAGGTATGATCCTGTGAGTATGACTATGTCAGGCTGTAACTTGACGAGTCTGTGAGACAGCTCTCCCCATTTTGGCACTAGCCCTCAGATGTTAGTGAGGAAGACTTTGCAGAATTGACCGGCTATTTCTGTCGTTGTCTTTAGTGATGCCTACGTGGATGCCAGGTGATCCATCCGGTTTCATTTCTTTGACACTTTGTAGAGATTGGTACAACTGAATGGCTTGCTAGGTCATTTCAGAGGGCAATTGAGAGTCAACCACATTGCTATAGATCTGGAGTCACGTGTAGGCCAAACTAGGTGATGATGGCAGGTTTCCTTCCCTGAACGGCATTAGTGAACCAGATGGGTCTTTCTGACATTCGGCAATCAACAATGGTTTCATGGTGATCATTAGATTCTTAATTCCAGAGTTTTTTTCTTAATTGAATTCAAATTCCACCACACTGCCATGGTGGGATTCGAACCCGGATCTCAGGGACATTAGCTGGGTTTCTGGATTAATAGTCTAGTGATAATACCACGAGGCCATCGCCTACCCTTATAAAAGGCAAATCATTCTAAACAAATCTACCGGGTTTTTGAGGATGTACCTCATAGAATAGACAAGGGAGAATGAGTTGTATTTGGATTTTCAGAAGGTTCCTCATAAAGATGTTAGTGGACAAAGTTAAAGCAAATGAGATTGAGGGTAATGTCCTGGCATGCATGGAGAATTGGTTGACAAATAGGAAACAGTGTGGGAATGAATGGGTCTTTTTCGGAGTGGCAGGCAATGTACGGCAAAGATCAGCACTTGGCTCCCAGCTATTGCGAATACATATAAATGACCCAGATGAGGGAACCAAATTGAACATTTTTCAGTTTGCTGGCAGGATTGTGAGTCATGAGGAAGATGTAAGGAGGCTTCAAGGTGATGTAGACAAGTTGAGTGAGTGGACAAACACATAGCAGTGTAACATGGCTAAATGTGAAGTTATACATTTCAATGAGAAAAACAGAAAGGTAGAATATTATTTAAATGGTGATATATTGGAAAGTGTGGGTGTACAATGGGATCTGGGTGTCCTTGTGCACCAACCAGTCAAAATAAATAGGGAGGTGCAACAAGCAATGGGGAAAGTAAATGGTATATTGGCCTTCAGTGCAAGACGATTTGAGTTTCGATGTAGAACTTGATGAGCCTTGATGAGCCCACACCTGGGGTATTATCTTCCTATCTAACAGAAGGGTTAGAGTTTCGGTTAGAAAGGACATACTTGTCTTCGATGGAGTACAGCAGAAATTCACTAAGCTGATACCAGGAATGGCAGAACCGTTCTATGGGACAGACTGGTTCAACTGGGCTGTATTCACTGGAGTTTAGAAGGATGACAGGGGATCTGATTGGACAGACTAGATCCAGGCAATTTTCACGAGTTGGGGAACCTAGAGCAGGGGTTGGGGGGAGGGGGGTCATATTTTCAGGATGTGGGGAAGACCACTTAGGTCTGAGGTAACAAAAGATTTCTTCACTCAAAGGGTAGTGAACCTGAAGAATTCTCTACCACAGAGGATGTGGAGGCCAGGTTATTGGATATTTTCAAGAAAGAGATAGTTGTTTTTAGATTTTAAAGGCATGAAGGGGAACGAGGAGAAAACAGGAACATGGCATTGAGAAACAGGATCAGCACTATCATATTGAATGGTGGAGCAGACTCGAGGAACCGGATGGCCTACTACTGCTCCAGTTTCTATGTTTTATATTAGAGGAACCTTTATAGAACAATGAGATATTGTCAATATTGCACCTAAGGTCCACACTGAAAAATGATACAATGTGAAGATTAGCAAGAGCTTGAAGGAAGAGGATGGATTGGTAGGCTCTCAAGTGCATCAATGTTGACATTAGTCTAAGCAATCTTGAGGAATTTGAAAACTTTTGAAGATACAATGCACTGAAGAGACAGAATCGAAAAGAACAGCTGTTTGTGTATGCCAGCCATTCTGTCTGGCTTGGATCAATACTCACTAAGTATCATGTTTTTGTTGTGTAACTAATATGTTATTTTCTTTCAAGTTCTGATTTAACTCAGCATATCCCACTATATTGCTTGCAATCAAACCTGATCAAATTTAATTTCTAGTATATTGAAAAGGATTTTACTGAGCAAAATTATAATACTGTATACAAATATACAAATTATACAAAAACAACTGCACCAAAGCATAACTTCAACAGTTATTTTTAAAGTACTTAAAATGATCAAAATAAAAACAAGTAATAAAAACCAAAAGAACTGCAGACACTGTAAATCAGGAACAAAAACAGAAATTGCTGGAAAAGCTCAGTAGGTCTGGCAGCATCTGTGAAGAGAAATCAGAGTTAATGTTTCGGGTCCAGTGACCCTTCCTCAGACCAGAGAAAGGGTCACCAGACCTGAAACATTAACTCCGATTTCTCTTCACAGATGCTGCCAGACCTGCTGAGCTTTTCCAGAAACTTCTGTTTGTGTTCCTAAAAACAAGTAATGTTCAACATAAGGGACTTGATGAGTACATAGTCCATAATTTACCGTCAAAATGGGAAGGTTTTTTAAAATTTATTCACAGGATGTGGTTTGCTCGCTAGGTCAGTATTTATTGAATAATTGCCCAGAGTGCAGTTGAGAGTCAGCGACATTGTAGCGGGTCTGGAGTCACATATAGGCCAACCCAGATGATGATGGCAGATTTCTTTCCCTAAAGAACATTAGATGGTCTCTCCAAAAAATTGATAATGGCTCCAAGGCCATTGTTAGGCTCTCAATTCCAGATTTTTATTGAATTCAAATTCCACCATAGAGGGATCTGAACCTGAGTCCACAGAACATGGTTGGGTCTCTGGATTAATATTATAGAATCCCTACAATGTAGAAGCAGGCCATTCAGCTCATCAAGCTCATACCAACCCTTCAAAGAGTATTCCATCCAGACCCACCCCCCTACTTTATCTTTCTAACCTTACGTATCCCATAGTTAGCCATTTAGCCCACATGTCCCTGGACACTATAGCACAGCCAATTCACATAACCTGCACATTTTTGGACTGTGGGAGCAAACCAGAGCAGACATGGGGGAGAACATGCAAACTCCACACCCACAGTCACCCAAGGGTGGGATTGAATCCAGGACCCTGGTGCTGTGAGGCAGCAGTGCTAACCACTGAGCTACTGTACCACCCTTAGTCTACTGTAAATACCATTAGGTCACCATTTCCCCATTATTTTGGCATTATTTATGCACAAATCACATTGCACCTTCAGACAAGGCCATAAACTTGGTTAATCATGAAAATCTGGAACCTGTGCAGCTGACTGAGATGTGTTCCTGCGCTGTTAAATCTCCCAAAACTGCAATCTGTTGTGTGGCTCCTTCGCTCAGTACTTTTACAATTCCTCTTTTTTTAACCAATTGTTTGGATAGGCTTTGACACACCTCCAGTGCAGGTGGACTTAAACCTGGATCTTCTAGCCCAGAGGCAGGGACATGACCACTGCACCATAAGCTCCTTCCCGTTACAGTTCTGTACGTAAAGCAGATGTGAATCAAACTCGCTACAGAAAGCGAGGGCCTATTTATTTCAGTCCACACGCCCCTTTTTTCTAATGCTGCGGTCAATGTACCATACAAACTTTTTGGCATTGAAAGCTAAATTTCATAACCATGGGGGCTCGCTAATTTTCGTCAGACAGAAGTAGTAAACCAAATGTTTTCTAATCATTCAGTTCAGGCATGTTATCAAACCAGGACGCCTGGCTCAGAGGCATAGACATTACCACGGCACCACAGGAACCCCGATACTATAAAGTGTCATTCCTTCACCTCTGAATTGTGTCCAAGCCGCAATTCTTCAAGCTGATTCGTGCGGGACTTTCTCTATTGGTTCCCTGTTTAGACGGTTTGAGGTGCCCAGAGGAAGGTGCAGTGCAGAGCACTGCAAGATCTTACAGACTGTTAATTAACTAGAATAGGTCGAAGGAACTTGCTGTGTAATGTTATGAAAAGTTGTGTAACTGAGTGAGAGACAGTCCGTGGGAGAGTTGGAGTCTGCCCCAAGTTTTACTTACGAGCAGGTTTAACAGCAGCGTTATTATTTACAGGAGAGAGAAAGTCTTGAGTGCGGTGACCCTTCTTCAGTTCTGAATCTCACCACAGATACTGCCAGACCTGCTCATTTTCTCCAGCAATTTCTGTTCCCTTCTGTTTCAGACTTGCAGCATGCATAGTTCTTTTCATTTTATTTTGTTTACAGTTCCTGAATGGGTACCCCAACTAGTTACCGAGATGTTAACAATTGGAAACATGGAAATGTGAAAATGTTACTTTCTGAGCGATGGAAAGCTGAGATTTAAACCCTCTCCACCTCCCCTCCCATTGCTGCTAAGTTTTTTTTTTGTTTTCTTGTGGCTAACTTTTTGCTGCTGGTGTGAGCGTGCCTTACCTTCAGCGCCAGCTCGATGTTGAAGTCGCGGGCTCTCAGAAACCTGAGCAGGAATTCATTGCGGAGACCGAGCGGCCAGTTTGCGCTGTGTTTCAATGCCCGTTCCCGCAGCTCCGCGATGCAGCGCAGCGTTGAGTCGGAGTAGAGTCGCTGCTCAGGCGGATCGTCGCCGCAGTGCCTGGGGTTCCCCTCCTGCTGATTACCCTCTGCTGACATGGCCCCTTCTCCGAGTCCTCTGTAACCGCACGGTCCACTCGGCCTCTCCTCCCTAAGATACTTTCAGCACCATGGCACCTCAAAGTTACTCCGGAACTTTACTTGTAGGCGGGACCCAGACGCCATCCATATGCCAACAACGCCGTATGTTGTTCTTTCATTGGACATGGCGAGGTGGGTTTAACTTATTATGTGCTGACAGCAGAAGTCGAGCTTCTTTTCAAATTAAACTCGAAAATCTCAGTCTGCACAGGGAATGTAGCAGTCAATGCAGTCGTATTCTTTCTCCAACTGCTTCATAGCATCTATTTCCTCTCTACAATTATCTGGTTTGGTTTAATCATTACAATCTCAACAGTGTGGAAGCAGGCTATTTTGTCCATCAAGTCTACACTGACCCTCCCACCCAGACCTACCCCCTTATCCCTGTAACCCTGTATTTCCCATGGATAATCCACATACACTGTAACCTACACATCCCTGGACACTATGGGCAATTTAACATGGCCAATCCACCTAGCCTGCACATCTTTAGACCGTGGGAAGAAACCAGAGCACCTGGAGGAAACCCATGCACACATGGGGAGAATGTGCAAACTCCACACAGACAGTTGACCAAGGGTGGGATTGAATCTGGGTCCCTGTGGCTGTGAGGCAGCAGTGCTATCCACTGAGCCAGCATGGCTGTTTCATCAGGGTTGTAAATATTAATTGATATGTATGGGGATCTAGCCCATGCACACGAACAACCATTCTCACCCTCCAAACGTGGCTCGACCAAAACACCTCGAGGAAACTTAGCCACCAACATTGCAAAAGCAAAGTCTATGTTTTCTTGGGCATCATAACGATATAGCTAAAAACCGAAAGAACTGCAGATGCTGTAAATCAGGAACAAAAATAAAGTTGCTGGAAAAACTCAGCAGGTCTGGCAACATCTGTGAAGGACAAAACAGAGTTAATGTTTTGAGTCCGGTGATCCTTCCTCAGAACTATGTAGCTACCTTCCCAAATGAGGTAAAATATCCTTCAACTCTGTGTTCAGTAAACATTGGCTCTGGGCAAATATCCTTTGGCAGATAAAGAACTGGAATTGGATCCAGACCATCTGTTCTTCCATGGTCATAAACAAAACCTTTCCTTTTTACCAGTTCAATCTCTTGTCTTTGAACCTTTCTGACTTAGTCTCTTGCTTACCTTCCTGCTTTTCCTATTTGAGCCCAGACTTCAACATTTTGTAAAGTTTTTTTTGATGTGCTCTTTCTTTCCCTTGTCTCCTCTTTCAAATTTGACTTTTTAGAATTACCTTTCTTGTACCAGCTAATTCTAACCTCATCATGTGAAGAACAGATTGGGAGTACATTGTGCTTGGTTTGGCATCCTGTGAGCTCTGAAGTCAACAAGGGTCAATGAGACAAGAAACATCTTTACTGTTGGGCAAGGGACACAGTGACTGGGATTGCAAGCCATGACATCGTAGCTCCCACACCCTCACACATAAGCTGAAAGATGTCCCTGTGGGAGATTTGAAGGGGAGAGGTGGAGGACTTCACCTGGCAGCTGCTTCACTCCAAGGCCACATGGAGTCTTTCTTGGGCCACCTCACATGAGGTAAGGATTACTAATGTGCATGGGAAGCGGAATTGTCAGGCTTGAGGGTAATCCTGAAGTCATACTTGCCTCCAAGCTTCTATGAAATTCATGGCAAGGAGCTGACCTCTCCACAGACACAGGAATGTGGAATCAAACGGAGTGTATGCTTCTTGTGGGCCTTGACCAGTTGCGTTATTACCCTCTGTGAGGGTGTAACATCGGGTTTGATGGAGAAGGCTGGCAGGGAAGAAGGGGCCGTTTACTAGGACTGAGCACTACCAATTACTATTTACACAAATTTGCTGCAGTCGTTCCATCAGCTATCTTTAGGTATGCAGCCAGTTAGAGTGCAGCCAGTGGGTTAGCCAGCCAACAAACCAGCAGTCGGTGGGAGCGTGTAGCAGTTGGTTGTTTGACAGTATCATGTTTAAAGGTCAGACTGCACACAAAGGACAGAGGAAGAGGTGCAGAAGAACTGGGCCTGTGGAGGAATACCTTTGCTGTGAGCAGAATGGTTGCACTGTATTATGGTGATGCCTGGCTTATGATACTCCTGCGGATAATGAAGGAACAGAGAATGGTACTCTTACCAATAGATAGGAGGAGAAGCCCAGCAAGCATCACAAAAAAAGGCATGGATGAAAGTGGCAGAAGATGTCCACATTTGTGGGGTGATCATATGAACATGGGTATATTGCCTGAAGCAATTCAATGCCTTGTGAAGTCTGGTTGGCAAGATAGCAAGGTAGCAATGATGTCCTTGAGATGTGGTGTGATATGGCTGATCCATGCAAAGGAAATGACCAAGGACATGCAAGCACCAGAGGACCACAAAAGACCACCTGCAATTACCAGGGGATTGGCAGCTTGTAGCTATCCTCCAAGTGGTCTATTGATGGTCGTTTAAAGTGGCACGCACCCTGACAGACACAGCTGGACTGTGATAAGAGTAACACTGTCTAATCATGTTGTTACAGGAGAAGCATGCTTGTAATACAAGGGAGCTGAGACACACAGGAAAGGGCAAATCCTTTATTGTTTCAATCTTGGAGGAAATAACAAAGAATGGATGAGTTGCACCGTGTCCAGAGAGCATAAGAAAAATTATGAATGTGAGCACCACACGTTCTGAGGAATATTACACCGGTGTCTCTGTGACTCATAATGGTCACAGGAAGCTACAGTTTGTGGACATGCCAGAGGATAAGGATAAATCCGGAAGTTATTAACAGCACTCATGCGTCAGCTGTAGCACTTGTGGTTATTGCTGATGAACCATCGGAGCCATGGGAGGAGGAGCTGCCATCTGAAGGGACAGTGTCACATCAGTCTGGCCTCATTGGTGTGCATTTGGAGTGGGTGGCACCAGCTGGTGAGCATGGTGTGTGTACATAGGAGCAACTGTGGTGGCAGCGATGACTCTGGTAATCTATGTCTCGCCTACGAATCACAAGGATATGGGCTCTGCTTGTACTCCAGGGCCTGAGGACAAAAATTAAGGCTGACACTCCAATGCACTGGAGAGGGAGTGCATGGCACTGTTGGAGATGCCTTCTTTCAGATGAGATAATAAACTGAGGACCATAGACCCGCTCCAGTTAATATTAGATTGCATAACACTTTTCAAGAAAAAGCAGTTATCCCTGATGTCCTGTTAATTATTTATTTATTGATTGATGACATTCCCCAGAGTAGTGGAGTCCAAACAGCATAAGTTTAAGGTGAGAGGGGAATGATTTAAAAGGGACCCAAGGGGTAACTTCTTTACGCAGAGGGTGGTGTATGAATGGAATGAGCTGCCAAAGGAAGTGGAGGAGTCTGATACAATTAGAACATTTAAAAGGCATCTAGATGGGTACATGAATAGGAAGGGTTTACAGGGATATGGGCCAAATGCTGGCAAATTGGACTAGATTAATTTAGGATATGTGGTTGGCATGGACAAGTTGGACTGAAGGGTCTGTTTCCACACTGTACAGCTTTATGACTCTATGGTTCTATCATCACATTGTAGTTTTTGGGAGTTTACAGTGCGTATATTGGATCTCATGTTTCCTACAATTCAACAAAAGTACTTCATATGCTGGAAACTGCTTTGAGGTGTCTGGTGGTCGTGATAAGTGTTATATGAATGCTCTTCTTCTTTGTTATTTCCAGACCAGCAAGTGCTAATGGGAGGAACTTCCAGGATTTTGACCAGTGGCAGTGAAAGAATTGCAATATAACTCCAAGGCAGAATATGAGGGGAACTTACATATGTTCCCATGTGTCTATTGTACTTGCCCTCCTAGGTGGTGGAGATTTGGAAAGTGCTACTGAAGATGATCAGCAAGTTGCTATACTGCATCTTGTGACTGGTGAATATCAGCTACCAACATGCTTTGACAGTAAAAAGAGAGAATGTTTAAGATGGTGAATGGGTTGCTGATGAAGCAGTCTGCTCTTATCCTCGATGCTATTGAGTTTTCTGAGTGTGTTTAAGTTTCACTGATTCTGGAAAGTGACAAATATTCCAACACAATTCTGAAACAGTCTTGGTGGACAGCTTTTGGGAATCAGGAAGTGTGCCATCTTTGCACATTGAAATTTATGATTGTGACTGTCCAGTCCTTTCTTCCTCAAATGTCTGCTGAACCTCCCGTCAAGTACATCAAATGTTTTGATTCAATTGCAAGTTACAGCAAAATTCCCACCCTCAGAACTATTCATGTAGCCAAAGTATTTATATGGCATTTCAGTCAATAGTAAGCCCAGGATGTTGCTGGCGGAAGATATGTGGTGGTAATGTAATTGACTATCAAGAAGTAATGTTTAGATTCTTTTATGTCAGAGATGGTCATTTCCTAGCATTTTCGTGGTACAAGTTTCAGTTGCTATTTATCAGTTCATGCCTGAATATTGTCCAAGTCTTGCTACATGGCAGAAAACAACAAATGCTGGAGGTCACACTGGGTCAGACCGCATCCATAGAGAGAGAGCAAGCCAATGCCTCAAGTCTAGATGACTCTTCATCAGAGCTTGCTGTCTCTCCATGCTTGCTGTCTGACCTGCTGTGATCTCCAGCATTTGTTGTTTTCAGTACAGGTACAACATCTGCAGTAATTTGTTTCCATATTGTTACATAGCAGCATGGATGGCTTCATTATCTGAAGAGTTGTACAGCAGTGAACATTTTGCGATCATCAGCATCAGTCTTATGTTAGAGGGAAGATTGTTGGTGAGACAACTGAAGATACTCAGCCTTCGACATAACCCTGAGGAACTCCTGCTACAATGTGCTGCAGCTGATTGTTCTCTAACAAGTACAACCATTTTGGTTTGTGTTGGGAATGACTCAAACCAGCAAAACATTTCCCGCTTGATTCCCACTTATTTCAATTTTACTACGATTCCTTGATGCTTCACTCAGTCAAATTTTGCCTTAATTACATACAAGGGTAGTCACAAATTTACTATAAGGTCATAGAGACATCGAGATGTACAGCACGGA